ATGATCTTTGCTTTGGTTGTGTATCCTCAACAGTCTTGTTTTATTGTTTTTATGTTTTCTGTGTTTAAATGTTTATATATTGTTTTCTGCAAATACAACCTTATATGCAGATATCTTGAACAGAGTCTCATACTTCTTAATTAATACCTATCACATTCATTTGTTTTACACACCACATTTAAGGGTAGGGGGTACAGTTCGTGCCATGATTCGCTTTTTTTAAATTGCTTCAAATATTTGTTTTGCCAAAAATAATGCAAAGAAATTTCGAGTGAGATTAGAAAACCCAACAGCAACAGCCCAAGCTTCAGGTAACTAAATGTTTCTTACTGCTGCTCAGGTTTACCTGTTAAAAGCATTGTATGGGGTATAAATATTCATAACTATCTGGCTAATAATGTTTAATTATGAAAATATCCTGTAGGGCTGCTTTTACAAAATGGCCTCATCTGTCTGTGCTATGAACCAGCATGACGCCAATTATAACATTTATAAGACAGAGGGTTTATAGCCAATTGTTGGCACAGAAACCCACAATAAATAACGGACCAACAGAAGGACTGCTGTTCAGTTATTTTCAGAATAATAATTAGGTTATTGCTGCCTGCTGTTTGAGCTGTTAGGAGTTTACCATAACTTTTTCAAACTTACTCGAGGGCAGTACTTTACAACACATTGTGTTTCTTCTCCGTCAATAATAAAACATTAGTTTTTGGAATTAGTACAGGTGAAGGTCTTCAGCCTTTCCTTGAACATTTTTAAGATTTTCTTCCTGCTGTTACAGTAAGGTTTACTTAATGATGTTAATTATTTAACCCACAGGGGACAACAAACCACACTGAGAGCAATTTCGTTCTTATTCCCTACATAGATGTTGTCAGATACAATTCAGCTTATGGTGTACAACGTCTATACATTTTGGACTAATTAGTGTTCCAAGTTAAACAGTGTTCTCTTCCTTCCTGTGACACATTTGGCAATAGCTGCATATATTTTTGTGATTTGAATTTAGTGAATTTGGTAGAAGTAGTAACACTGTTATAAAATGACATCAAATAAGTGAATTTAGAGTTCTGAACAACTGACGAAGTTACTGTCCTAATTATGAAAAACATTGATTAAAATGTGTTAAATATTTGTAAATTATGGATTTAAAATCATTCTTAATAATTACTGTCCATTTATTCACAGAATGTTGACATCTTTAAAAGTGGCAAAAAATACATTAAATTTACAAAATTACATTAAAATACAAACATTTCATTAAAATCCATTAATATATCCATGTACTGTTAGTAATGCATGATATATTTTGATATTTCATTGCCTTTTTGATATATTTCATTTCCATTGCAATTAGCCAGCTCTTCTGTGGGTTTTATGCAGAGTTTTGGAATTGTGCCTCTTTTCTAAACCATTTTGTTGTACAAAGTTTGGCAATGGTTTTGGTGTTTATGCCCTAGAATGGTATTTACAGTATGTCTGTTAGGGTTTTCATGCACTTGCAGTATGTTTAGAACTATTGTATATGTCATTAAGAACTAAAATAATTACATGACTATAAGATTTTACTAAAAAACAGTTATTTTCAAGAAAACATTATGTTCTTATATTAAATGACTTTCTTTTAAAAGCATTATTTGTTTTAATGATTTCTGCATACATATTAGTAATGAAGCTATAATATAGTTTAAAGTTTATATTAGGTTTAATTCCATAATGCAGCTGCTGTAGAACTACTGTACTGTAACATTGCCTGAATACACAATGTGACAGACAGTTCAGATTGTTCCTGGTCAGTGAATTGCAGTCTTATTGTCCAGCTTTGATTCCATGGAAAGAAATTTGAGATGAGCCAAAAAGTTCATAGCAAGGGCAAGGAGGTAAAACTTATTAAGAGAAAAAAATGCTTCATATTTGTGTGTCATACAGAGCCTTTATTCTGTCATAGTCTTCTGATGTCTGAACCCCCTGTATAAGTACATTCCAACAATTAGGATCAAGACTGAACATGGGTGGTCTTTGTAAAGGAAAGGTCAAAACAAAAAACAAAGACATTCCCTTTTTTTGAGTGCCTTTTTGATTAGTGGGATTTAGACACTAGCCTTAATGAAATTAGCCATGATATGATTGCTACAGGCAGTGGTCTTTAACACACGCATCTAAACTGCATCTTTGCAGAGCTGTGTTTGGACTGTGTTTCTTTCCAAATGGCATTGGATTTTCTGGGTGAAAAAGCTTTCAGCAGCAGCCCAACAGGAAAGAATGGAGATGCTTCATTTGGATGATTGAATTGGCACTGCCCTACCTTACCCAGAAGTGTCAATTTATGTACCTTTTTTTTCCCCAAGAAATGTATGATGAAAACTTCTATGGAGTGACAGAGAACTTATAGCATGGCTTTAACATTTGTTCAATGGTATTAAGAAAACAAATGTGAATATAAAAGTCAGGTGAATCAAGTGTTGCAGAATTTAGTGTGCCAGAAATGAGTGAGAACAGCGACAGGAGTGACAGGCCACCCTGAACATTTTCTAAAGATGGGACAATACATTACAACATTATTGAAATTTGACATAAAACATTTAAGAACAAGTAAAAGTGAAAAAGGAAGCCTGTTTCTCCTCTGTTGGCTCTGGTGCAACTTTTTAGTTTTGAATTTTATAGGTTCAGCTTCGTGCTGTGTTTTGTGAAGCATTCTTGATTTGAGCAGTGCTCGGATTGACTAGTCATTTTCATTTGTCCTGTTTGTTCAAGCCTCGCATGTTACCTTTAGCAATAAGACTGTTTAAAATACTATTTACTGTTGGTGAAGGTTTGAGGAAGTGTCAGTCACTATTTACTTCATAGTAGGAGACTTGACAAAGCAAGCCAAAGTTTTAAAATAATGCTACAGCAATTATTGCACAAATATGAACTCATAAAGAAAATACTGCTATTGGTTTATGTCAGATGACATACACGGTGAGTTCACATCGCTTCATATAATTATTTCCTGTAATGGTGCATTGTTGCAGTCAAAACGTCTTGGAGGTATATTCCAGTTTCTGGTACTATTCTTGGAGACACATCCAATTAGCTGTACCATCAAGTCCTCTCCCCTTCACTACAATACACACAATACAGTATATTTAGCTTTCAAATGCACTTAATTTATTTCAATTAAATATGACCACAGATAAACACACAAAACACTCAAATCATTA